GGATCCGGTTGTTTTGTTGTAATCCGCTTTCCCTTGCAAAAAACAATAGAAAATGACATTTCTTGTTCTAATATAATCAAATTTCAAGAATCCCTTGCAAAAAATAAGGTAAAGTGGACATTCGCGCGCGCAAGACGAAATCCTTCCAAAACCTTAGTGTTCGCAGCGATTTTAACATAAAAACATCAAAAAACCAATGGTTTTTCAACAAAAAAATGTCAAAATCTCATCCCGCGCGCTCTTGCGGATTCGTAGGAAACCCAACACTTTTTAAACATTTCTGTCAAACGGGCTTTTGCGAGCAACTTTTTCGAACTTCTGCGACAACGGTTGCGCACCTGCCAGGGCCATCATCCCTGTCAAATAATACCATGCGGGACACATTCGTTTTTTCTTCGCGCGCGCACGCCGTCGTCGTCGGCCGCGGGGCCCTGAATAGTAGCCACGGTCGTCCGCATGCCACGAAGTGAAGTGTCCGAACGTCATAGGGCGGGAAGCTGGGTGTGGGTGGTGGCGAAGAGTCGTTTGGAAATTTGGTAGAGCTTGAACCGGCCCCCCCACAAAGTGGGGGTATTGCCCGCCTCCTATGAAAACCCTGGCACTGGTGAGAACGGAGTGTCCCCACGTGCTAGTAATTGTTGCTGTTGTTGTTGTTGTTGTTGTTGTTGTTGTTGTTGTTGTTGCTGCTGTTGTTGTTGTTGTTGTTGTTGTTGTTTGTTGTCGTCGTTCCCCATGCGACCCACCCCGCGACTCACCCGCGACCCACCCCGCGACCCCCCTGCGACCCAGCCAGCGACCCGCCCGCGACCCACCCGCGACCCAACCCGTTACCCGCCCGCGACCCACCTGCGACCCACCTGCGACCCACCCTGCGACCCACCCCGCGATCCACCCCGCGACCCACCCCGCGACCCACCCCGCGACCCACCCTGCGACCCAGCCCGCGACCATCCCGCGACCGACCCTGCGGCCCAGCCCGCGACCCACCCGCGACCTACCCGCGACCCAACCCGCGACCCTCGACCCACCCGCGACCCACCCGCGATCCACCCGCGACCCACCACGCGATCCACACACATTGCTTTGACGAAAAAATCGGCGCATGAGGTGGGCTCAATGCGTACTTGGTAAAAGTTAAGCGCCTGCGGCGGGTTTCTTCAGAGCCTCGCAGACTGACGACGTCCTCGCCGGCCCCTCACTTTTATCCGCAACTACGGGGTGCTACGTAAGATTGTTTTTCGTATATATATATATATATATATATATATATATATATATATATATATATATATATATAGGGCTGCTGTATGAGGATTAGGATTAGGACGGCTCCTTGCGTAAGAAATATTGCGTTAGGATTGCTTGTCACATGCACGCATTGTTTTGGGTCCACGCGGGCTAGCACCTCTCATGCCAGGCTGTCTCGCCACACGATGTGCTTGCCGTGTCTCTCTCTCTCTCTCTCTCTCTATCTCTCTCCTTCTCCTCCTTCTCCTCCTCCTCCGACTTCTCCTCCTCCTCTTCCTCCTCCTCCTCCTCCTCCCTCCTCCTTCTCCTCCTCCTCCTCCTCTCCTCCTCCCTCATCCCTCCTCCCTCCCCCCTCCACAATTACACAATATGAACATACTCTCCCACTTCCCCTGATGGCGTCCCGAAGATATCCGACACCCCCCCGCGTACTGTTTTTTTACACACAGGATTCCCGGGAAACGGGTTTTCGCTTGCGTTTTTTTCAAAATGCTGCTCTCGCTGAGGCGCCGGCCTCATTTCTGCTCCCGAATCGTTCCGAATCGTGCTCCCGCTGCAGCGTGGGCCTCATTTTCGGATCGGTGTTTGGCCTCCGTCGTTCAGGATGGCGTTCTCGCCCCAGCGCGGGCCTCTTTCTCGCGCGCCCATCCGCCCGCCACCACCGCGCCGCACCACCACCACCACCACCACCACCACCACCACCACCACCACCACCACCACCACCACCACCACCACCACCACCACCACCACCACCACCACCACCACACAACCACGCACACACGCACGCACGCACGCACGCGCACCACCACCCACTACGCACGCGCGCGCGGAGCCACAGGTCCGCTACGACACGCGTCCGCGGATAGAGAAAATCGGCGCCATGGTAAGGGATGGGAGGGAGGGGTAGGACGTCAGATATGACGCGAGCGCACCTAGCTTGTCCCTCCCCCCTCCTCCCTCCCCCCTCCTCCCTCCCCTCTCCGCCCTCCTCCCCCCTCCCTCCTCCCTCCTCACTCCTCCCTCCTCCCTCCTTTCTCTCTCTCTCTCTCTCTCGGAGCTCCCCACGTCTCCCTACCCTCCCTCTGGGTGCTCCCGGATTTTTTCACAGCTTGCCGCACGGCGCGTTGTGGGTTGATGGCTCTCCCTCTCTCTGTCTGTCCCTTCGGGCCGCTGTGTTTTTGTTCCCCCTCCTTCCCCCCCTTCCTGATTTCTCATAGCTTGTCGCACGGTGCGCTGTGGGTTGATGGCTCTCTCTTTCTCTCTCTCTCTCTTTCTCTCCCTTCCCGCCGCTGTTCTTTCTCTCCTTCCCCCCCCCCTCCTGGTTGCCGTTGTTGTTTGTTGCTTCTGGCAGTTCCGCAACAGCAGCAGCAACAAGCACAATATTCGATATTGGCTTGACGATTCCGTGGTCCGTACGCTGTGCGATAGTTCCCCAATCAGAGCTTGCCTCTGTAGGGGTCCTAGCGGATATAAAGCTGAGGTGAGGTGAGCGGCCGATTTCGGTGGCCGGGGCCGGGTGCCCGGGTGCCCGGGGGTTCCCAGGGGTGCCCGGGTGCCCAGGTGTGTGGCCGATTTCGGTGGCCAGGGCCGGGTGCCCGGGGGTGCCCGGGGGTGCCCGGGTGCCCAGGGGTGCCCGGGTGCCCGGGGTGCCCAGAAGTGCCCGGGGGTGCCTAGCCCAATAGCCCTATATCCCTATAGCCCAATAGCCCAATCGCCATATATCCCTATAGCACTATAACCCTATAGCCCTATAGCCGTACCTATACGACCACCCTTCGGGTGATAAGGAGGTTCGGGGGGGGGAACCAACGTCTCACTCGATCGGTCTCACTATCGATCTCAGTATCGATCTCACTATCGGTCTCGCTCGATCGATCTCACTCGATCGATCTCACAATCGATCTCACTCGATCTATCTCATTCGATCGATCTCACAATTGATCTCACAATCGATCTCACAATCGATCACACAATCGATCTCACATTCGGTCTCAATATCGATCTCACTATCGATATCACAATCGCTCTCACAATCAACGTCATCATCATCATCAACATCATCAACATCAACATCATCACTAACATCGTCATCATCATGAGGGCACCGTCATCATCATCATCATCATCATCATCATAAACATCATCATCAACGCCAGCATCATCATCGGGACAACATACTCATCATCATCACCATCATCATCTCATCATCAACATCATCATCATCATCGGGACACAGTCATCGTCATCATCATCAGCAGCATCATCATAATCATCATCATAATCGGGACACCATCATGATCACCATCGTTCTCATCATCAACCTCGTCATCATCCTCGGGACACCATCATCATGATCATCGCATCATCATTTTCGACATTATCATCATCAACAACATCATCATCATTGGGGCACCATCATCATCATGAGCAACATCATCATCAACATCGTCATTATCATTATTATCATTATCGGGGCACCATCAGTATCACCATCTTCATCATCACCATCATCATCATCATCAGCATCATCATCATCGGGACACCATAATCATCATTAACATCATCATCAACATCATTATCGCAAGGACACCATTTCCATCAAAATCATCATCACCAACATCGTCGGAGCCATCATCATCATCATCATCATCATCATCGGGACACCATCATCGTCATCATCTTCAACATAATAATCATGAGCATCATCATCCTCATCATTGGGACACTATCATCATCATCATCGACACCATCATCAACATCATCATCATCATCTTCATCGGGACACCATCATCATCTTCTCATCATCATCATCATCATCTCATCATCATCATCCTCGCGGGACACCGCGGGACACCGGCGGGACACCGCGGGACACCGCGGGACACCGCGGGACACCGCGGGACACCGCGGGACACCGGCGGGACACCGCGGGGCCCCGCACCCCGGATGAGAAACATTTGGTCCGGCCGCGCCTCAGCCACAGGAGGACACCGCGGGACACCGGCGGGACACCGCGGGGCCCCGCGCCCCGGAAGAGAAACATTTGGTTTGGCCGCGCCTCAGCCACAGGAGACTTTTTCTCGCCCGCCCACGCAGCTTCGCCTCGCACGCACGGCACGCGCGAACACGAAACCGAAACCGATTTCCCGGTGGGGGGCTCGCCGTTCCACTTCGATCTCACCCCCTCACCTCCGATAGCCCTATAGCCCAATAGCCCAATAGCCCCATAGCCCCATAGCCCCATAGCCCCATAGCCCTATAGCCCTGTAGCCCTATAGCCCTATAGCCCTATAGCCCTATGGTCCTAAAGCCCTATAGCCGTATATAGCCCTATAGCCCGAAAGCCCGAATAGCCTTATAGCCCTATAGCCCTATAGCCCTGTAGCCCTATAGCCCCATAGCCCTAAAGGCTTCTAGCCCCATATCCCTATGGCCACATCGCCCTATAGCCCTATAGCCCCATAGCCCTAAAGCCCTAAAGCCCCATAGCCCCCCCCCCCAAAAAAAACTGATTGGGTTTTTCTCTGGTATCATCTATCTTATATCTAGACGATGGCTTGCATTAGTTTGAAACCATGCCCATGCTGCGATGAAGTCGTGACTCCTGGAGAAAAATTGGCTTGTAGCGTCACAGGCAAGGACAAAGCAAGGCGTTGACCTGAGAGGGCACCGCCGCAGAATGCTGAAGGGATGGTGCAACACCACAACAACAACGACGACGACGACAACAACAACAAACATGCCTCCTCCAGGTCGGCGCGGCCGACGGCGCCGCGCTCGGGGTGGCCGCCTCTCTCGGGTGCGACGTGGTGGTGGACGGGTCGGGGCTGCAGCACTCTGGGTCCGGGCGCCGCTTCTCTCCAGGGGGTAGTCAATTGCTTGGATGTCCGCGTGGGATGCTGAGGGGGTATGGGGTTGTAGGTGGATGCAAAGGTGGGTCATATTTGGCCCAACCTGGCCCACGAGTGGGTTGCAAGTGCCCTAAGCGGCGCACAGCCTTAGCAAACACCGCGGTCATCCAAGCAAAGCTCAGAGGACCCAGATTTCCGACGATCTGTAACAACAATCCGAGCATGTTCCTTCGGTTTCAGCATCTGGGGGCCGTCCTCTTGCCTCCCGGTGAGTAGATCAGAAAACCGAAATGAAGTGGAGTGGAGTAGATTCAGGGTGACTGGACTGGAGTCGACTGGACTGGACTGGGGTGGATTCTGCACCACTCTACTCTGCCATTCTCTACTTTATTCTGCCTGACTCTACTCTACCATCTACCCTACTCTGCGTACTCTGGTCTACTCTATTGTACTCCTGCTCTGCTCTACTCATTCTCTACTCTACTCTAAAATACCCTCCTCTACTCTGTTCTACTCTATTATGTTCTACCTGACTCTACTCTTTCATCTATCCTACGCTATTCTTCTCTGCCCTCCTCTACCCTAACCCAACTGTTCTCTGCTCTACTAGTACGACTTGTTGCTCGAATCTAATATACTCAACCACCGATCCCACTCTTCGCTCCTCGGTTCTACCCGACTCTGCTCTTCCATCGGCCCCATCCTCGCACGCGCCTCTCATATTCTTCCGTGTTCATCAAACTTACGGCCTTGCTGTCGGGGCCGCCGAACCGACCAGCGACGAGCACGACACGACACATACAGCCATAGTGGCCGCGACATCACAGACGCGCGGAAGCAGGCTCGCATCACCATCGGCGCCATCAGACATTCCAATTGGACACGATGGATGGCTGAACAATTTGATTGCATCTCCAACGAGCCTCGCGACTACGACAACCCTTTGTGCAAGCTCGTATGGGCCGCGTAGGTGGTTAACGTGGATAAGACGTTCCGGAAGTATCTGGAATACCCACGCATTGCTTCTTTCGTTTCCATACATCGAATCCGAGGTCGTGCTTCACGACTGGCTCCCACCAGGTTCTGTTTGGATCACACCGTCTCCCTGGCGATGCAAAGCATCTAAGACGAGCTCCACGACATCCGGCGACGACGGGGCGAAGGCGACCACGACTACAAGACCACCATCGGCAAAACCAACATCCTCAGCCCACTGAAGCGCATCGTGTTTGGGATCTTGCACAGCTACGGGCGCCATCAAAACGGCAGCCGGCGAGTACGCCACTGTCCCAGCAGCAGTTGCAAAAGAATTGAGCCCCCTATTGGGTAAAGACCTTCCAAACCAACCCATCAACCAACACGTGCTCCAGGAGCGGCTCAGGAGTATCCTTTCCTATTCCCCGCGCCAAGACGGAGAGCGCCACGCGAGCCCCACGGGAGCCCCGCGGCCCGCGGCAACCTCATTCGAACCCCACGGGAGCCCCAAGACCGATTCCAGCCGCACTTGGACCAACGCCAGATGCAGCGCGACCGACTCGAGCAGCACTGGGCCGACGCAAGCAGCACAGCAGCCACCCCCAGCAGCACCACGACCAGCCACTGACCCCAGCAACACCGGAACGACCCCAGCAGCAGCACGACGGCGACCAGATGCTACGGCCCGTTGGGGGTGTTTAACTTGTGCAACGCGGTGCAGCTCTTGGAGCGGTCGCAGGGCAGGGCATAGCTTACAAGTGCCTGCTTCGATGAGGTCTGGGGCCAGCCCCACAACTACAACGAGAGCATCCTGGTCTGCCTTGCGAAGAAGGTCGAGCACCACCCCCCAGGGCGTCAGGGCATATTGGTTCCCGCCAACACGCGGCCGCTGAACAATGTCAACGCAGACAATCGCGTTGACGCCAGCGCCGCCCGCAACCGCTGGGAGAAGCACCTTGCGAAATTGATGGTTCCCAGGCACAGGGTGTGCCTTCGAAGACGGCCCAGTCTGCTGGACATTGACACATCAAGCGTGATCATGTCGTCCCGACGTGAGAGCGACTTCGCACTGGCGTTTCCTTCGGCACCCTAGGAATTCATGTTCACCGTGTTATCTTTGATCGGCGTGCCGGACCAGGCCATGAACGTCATCCACGCGTTATGCGCTGATTCGTATTGCACGGTCAGGCACGGCGAGAGGCATGCGCCGGGTCTTCGGCTCGCAGCAGGCGTAAAGCAGGCATGCCCACTCCCCCCGCCTCTCTAACGCCACGGATGCAGAGCTGCTCCTGGACCGCATAGAACAGGGGTGTTTTGGCAGTTTGGTTCGGGCTTACGCGGACAACTCTGCGCTCGTTCTCGCGGACTGCTGGCAGGGGGCACCACTTTTGCAATTCATGTCCGACGGGCTTGCCAGTATCCCAGGCCTGCGTCTCAGCCTGCAGAACTGTGCCACTATCCCGCTCGGGTTCGACACCTTGGAGCAGTTCAGGTTTGTCCGGGGCCAGCGGTTGCCTGGGTGGGCTGGCATGCCAGTGGCCGGGTGCGACAAGCACTTGGGCTTCATGGTTGGCCGGTGAAAAGGCATGCAGTCGTGGCGCGACCCCAGCGACTGATCGGAGCGCGGCGCCCGCATGTACTTCCACACCGTTGCCTACGATGCGTTCGCTGTGTCCACGCTGGGCTACATCAGCTAGTTGGAAGTAGTACCTCTGGGAAACTCTGGTGTGGAATCATCCGCCCCCGGGAAAACGCACATAGTACTTGGGGGATGGGCGATGACAGACGACCTGAGGCGTCTCAAGGAACATTTCGGCCAGTCGGCGTCGTACTCGAGTGTGCGCTTGCTCGTCCAGGCGTCGCAGCTCGGAGCCCCCGTGCGGGATCCTGCCTGCGCGTCTGCTGATTTCCAGCGGCATGTGCGGGACCTCCGGGAATCGCTGGATTACCAGCGCCATGTACACAATCGGTGTTGATGGGCCGACTGGCACTCATGGGCTCTTGCGCTCACCCTCGAGGGCAATCGCCAGTGGGTTTACACGGCATTGCTCGCCTACTCAGCGACATCCGCAACAACCTGGCAGGGCCAGTGGATGAGGGCGAACGCGATGACAGTGGCACCGTTACCGAGGTTCTGAACAACAGAAGCAGTGCCGACATGGAGACGCCAGCGGGCTGGCCGATCATCGCGCCCCGGACAGGTTTCCATTGCCGAGCCTACGTGAGACTACTCGCATACGACGTCCCGCACACCATATCGCGTATCCGCCAAAAGTTCGGACGTTGTGACCTCCAGGATGCCCCCGTGCACCCGCTGCCTTCAGGCACGATTTGCAAACGCAGTACCTTTGCCTGGCAGTCCCCTCGGGCGCTGGCGAGTCTACCACTACTGCCCTCCCTGGCCCCTCAGCACTTTAGGGAGCAGGTGGTGTACGCAGAGACGACGCCAGCAACGGCATTCACCGCACAATCGCTGCGTACTGGTATTGTGTTGGGCCGCCGAGGACTCCATTGAACTCCATTGCAGATGCCCTGTGACGAAGCACGCGCTGGAACGAAGGCTGAATTCACGCCTTTCGTCCAACGCCACTCTTCATGATTTTCCTGCTGTGCAGTGGGAATACTCGCGCGTGCGAGGAGCTCGCGTCTATCGCCATGCTGGTCTACTTCACCTACAACGCCACCAACAACTACAGACAACGCGGCCGCTCAGGTCAACGACGCCCACGTTGCAAACACGCAGTGGATGCGCGAGGGAGTGCAATAAGAACAACAACACAAACACTTGACAACAGATGGAAGCCTGCACGGCGGGAAGCGCCAATCCGACCAATCCCAGCACACCTTTGACAGCGGCGGCCGGCACCCGCTTCCACTCCAGCTCCGAGCCCCCTGCCGACGCCGATACCAGCTCTGGCACCTGTCGGTGCCTATCGAAAGCCGGTCTTGTGCAACATGCGAGAGCCTTGGAGCACCGATTGTCTGGCTCCAGCGCGGACTCCATATCCGACCCCTGCTTTGGCTCCGCACGACTTCGGCAGCACGGCTGTCTTCATCAACTCGACGGCGTCCAGCGCGACGGAGCGCAGTTTGGCAACACGACGGGCGTCAGCAGCGCGACGCCGAGCAACTCGACAGTCTACACCAATCGGGCGGTCGCCATCGTGACGCAGAGTAGTGTTCCTAATATGATCCGAATACCGCGGTGTGTGTGTGTGTGTGTGTGCGTGTGTGTGTGCCCCGGGGTGCGTGTGAGTTCGATCGGTTTTTGCACCCAACCGCCCAAAGCAGATGCCCCCCAGCCGCCGGCAGCTCCCTGCAGCTGCCGCTGGGTGGGGCACGTGGGGGCCTCTGCTTGCGGCAGCTCGGTGCACCAACGGATCGAACTCGTGTCCCCCCTCAGGGCCACTCCCCCTTGCGTGGACCCCGATATGACACCAGCTCTTGCTCCAGATCCGACTCCAGCTCCAATTTCGCTCCCAGGTCCGGCATCCTGTTCGCCTGAAGTTTGATATCGACGTGTGTGTGTGTGTGTGTGTGTGTGTGTGTGTGTGTGTGTGTGTGTGTCGCGCGCCGTGCCACTGTCGTATCGACTCCACGTTCGACTCCTGGTGTGTTCCACCAGGTGGCCTGTGCTTGTATAGCTAACCTCATGCGCACACACGCCTCGTCTGGACGGGTCGGGGTAGGATGATGCGCGCGACGGAGAAAATATATTGCACCGCATGCTTGACCGACATCTTGCTCACGCACCGGATCGACGCATGCGGCACCTGTCTGCATAACCGTGCACCATACCGGCGACATAGATTTCTGTCCGGGGCGGAAATCTGGGCAGCTGCTCCTGATCCGCAGCCCCCGCATGCGAGATGCGCGTGTTCCTGCGATGCCGAATGCTGTCGTTCGTGCTGCTCGGCGGGTCACTGGAAGGGGCGACTCCCACGGCTGCACTGTCGACGCAAACTCTGTTGGTCGCGCATACCTCGGCAGACGCGCTGGCTCCGATGCCCGCTCC